TGGCCTCCAACCGACTAGCAATGGCCTCCAACCTACTAGCAATGGCCTCCAACCTACTAGCGATGGCCTCCAACCTTAGGAGATGAATCCCGGTCCCCCACTAAGTTCGCGAGGGAAGATATTCTTCCGCACTCGACCGCCTGGCACCATGCAAGGCTTGCGATGGCGATGCCTCCGTCCTTCTTCAGCCGCGCATGGGACAGGTCCTGAAGAGCGAAGAACAAACTGAAAAGGTGGGGGTTGTTTCCTTGTGCGGAAGTTCAATCTTTGGGGGTCATTCTCAATAGTAATCAAAAATGAAGAAATTGTCAGGGTCATTCTCATCCAGAAGCCTTTTGTTGATCCGAAATCACATATCTATAGGGCTTCAGACTACGTGTGTCGTTTGTCTTAGGTTGAGCACTATCCGTAAACATCCCTAAACTATCCTAAACTGCGAGGAAGGCCTTTCTTTGAGACTTTTGGGCCACAGAAGGTCCAAATCGACTGGCACAGGAGGCTGAGACACAGGACACCTGCCAACCTCTCGACTACAACAACGGCGACTGTGTCGGTAAGAACACCTGCTTCGAGTGCGACTTCACTGGCAAGAAGATCTTGCCCGCAAATAAGGATCGCTTTCCCACGGGATTCTTGCAGTGTCAGGGTGACTCGACGACGTGCAACACAGCAGACGCAGGGGCTACGATCAAGTTCAGGAGTTCATTAGACTACCTCTACTGCAAAGGAGTTACTGGGCTTGATACGACGATGCTTGGGTCGTCCTCCTGTGACTGTCGTGTGCATGTGTCTGTGTGTGCCTGTGTGTGTGTGTCTGTGTGTGTGTCTGTGTGTGTGTGTGTGTTTCTTGGATTTGAGGCCTTTGGGGGACTAGTGATTGAATGTGTTTGAAGGCACTTCATGCCCTATTCCAGCGCTGAGGAACTTTGATCGAAACTAGATTGTAATTGTTGTTGCACACTGAAAACGGTAGAGGTGTCCACACTGGGATTCTGTAACCGAAATGTAAAGGAAAATTTTCCTGACGTGATCAGGTTCTTGTGGGGACTGGGTTTGATTGGGTGACTTTACCCGAGCATGGATGACTGTATGTGCCTACCGAGTAGTTGGTCTTTTGCTGTCCCGTTCTCCGAATGTACAGATGCACGATTTCAGGATGCCATTCTCCAATAGTCATTATTTGCCGTTGCAAATGGTCCTTGCTGCTTTAGATTCCAGGAATTTGATTCCTTCTCATAAAAAGCTCCAATGCTGAAGGAGGGACGAACATCTTATTGAAGCTACGCCGCTATGCACATCCTTTCTGGAAGCCATTGAGCCTCCACCCTCGGACACGGGACTGTTGGAACCTAGCCATCTCAGGCTGGCACTTGCTCAGATACGTGGAACGTGGAGAATGCCGGAGCTGCCTGCTGCGCTTACCGGGGCTCCTGCCAAGGGTGGGCTGGCATGCATCATATCCGCTTCGGGGTTTGGGGGCTCATGGATCGGTGGTCCCGGGGAAATAAAACCATTTACCATTTTACCCATTGTTTGGGGCGTCCTCTTATTAAAATCCATTCCGGGTGGTAGTGATGCCTCGTGTTTTACTGTGTCCTGGACATTTGGTGAGGAGGTGCAGAAACCAGCCATGCAGGTCTTGGCGCAGGGAAGCAAATTCCAAGCATTTCTGACGATCATGTGGTTGCTTGTATCACCCTCGAATTGCTAAGGTCGAAGATCTCTTTGACACCCGCAAGTGACCCGGATGGCGGCTGCCAGAATGACATGTCGCTCGCTTTGAGCAGCCCGCGCATATCGATGTTGGAAGCCTAAGAGATCATGAGATGGTTTATGGACACTCGAAAAGCCCCTTTGGCCAGCCCAGATTTGGCACAACTACAAGCCATGTAATAGGTGTTTGTCAAGAGGTCTTGTTCTTTTTCCGGTCCCGCCCCTGATTTTAGATACCACGATCCACAGGACTGGAGCTGTGGAGAGAAAACCACGCGTCGGCGTCACCGTCTGAGGTGTTGCGATGGTATTGATAGCTGCAGCGAGGGCGAATTGAAAGGAATTGAGAGCCTGACTTGTCGAGGAAATCGTGCTTGCTCATCCGCGACAGTGGAGGTGTCCAGGGATTTGTTCCTCGGTCTTTTTCTTTGGATTGGTTTTGATGGTCGAACATGGTGTTTCACCAAGACCAACAAGAAGCTGAGATCTTGTTGCAAAGCCGGCCTGAGTCATAGGTCATGGACCCTTTCACTTCAGACCCTCACGACCGAGGGCCCTTGAGCGGATCAAAACCGTGCGTGAGCAGCCGCACCATGTTGCCCCATTTTCCACGGGTGTGAATCCCCGAGTTTGCATTGGTAGCGGAGCGAGCCGAACCCGTGCTCGCTCCCTATCCTTAGACCGCCATGCCGCTTGCTGGTGATGTCTTGCGGCCGCCTGGCGATGGCATGACGCCAGATCTACATCCTGGTGCCCTTGGAGGTGAACTTCCTGGCACCGGAGCCCCACAAGAAGAGGACGATGATGTCCTAGTTGAAGCGCTGGACCATGACCCCTTCGAGGATACCTACCAGGACGATGGCGAGATGGACGAGCTCTATGGCAGAGCCCCTCTACAACGTCGACGCCTTGGACGCAACGGACCTCGCTCAGATGATCACGGTCCCGCTGACGGAGAGCCTGGTGAGAAGACCCCTTCTCAATCCGGCTCGCAGCATGCTGGCTCGGGGAGAGAGCCTCCACCGGCGTTTTCCGGTGAAGTGAAGAAGAACCCCAAAGCCTTTCGTCATTGGCTTCAGAAGGTGGACAGCTTTGTGGAGATCGCCAAGCACATCATTGGCGACGAGGAGATCGGCCTTCGCTTGCACTCGGCCCTTGAGGCGGACGCGGCCGAGTACTTGGAGGACATCCCGGCCAAGACCTTCGGCGTCCCCGGCGGATGGAGAGTGCTCATCCAGGTGCTTCGCGAGAAGTTTGATGAGCGCCGGATGCACAAGGTCGGATCGGCCATGAAGTCGTTCTTCAAGCTGCAGGTCGACAGAAGCTGGACCCTCACCGAGCTCGTCGACCACATGGACAAGTCGGCACGCCTTTGCCGAGAAGCAGGCCTCGCGATCCCCGATGAGATCCTCGTCTACCAGTTCTTCGAGCACAGTGGAAGCTCCATGGAACGTCAGGCGAACTTGCTCTTGAGGACCTCTGGAGACTACGACTGGAAGAAGATGAAGACCGCGATCGAGCTCCTCTACCCCACGAGGCTGGTCTCTCAACGTCGTGATGGTGGTGGCTTCAAGGGCTATGGTGGCGGAAAGGGTAGGTCAGCACACGAGGCACAGGGCGTTTGGGAAGAGTCCAACACTTCAAATGACTACATCCAGCCCGACATGGACATCGAGGACTGGCTCTTCTACGAGGACCCCGTCGAGAAGCTTGCCGATGAGGTCCCCGACTACCTGCCTGAGAACCTGGCCAGAGAGCTTCATGAAGTCTACGCCACCCATCGAGAGAATCGAGCACGCCTTGCAAAAGCAGTCAAAGCCCGCGGCTTCTACGTGAACAAGTCCAAGGGCGGCAAGAAGGGCTCGAAAGGTGGTGGCACGTCGAAAGACAGTGGCAAGGCTGGGAAAGGCTCAGGAGGCAAGTCGAAAGGCAAAGGGTCTGGAAAGGCCCGTGGTATGTCTCTGGAGCAGCTGAAGCAGGTCACCTCTTGCGCCGACTGTGGCGAGATGGGCCACTGGCGAGGTGACACGCAGTGCAAGAATCCTGCCAAGAAGGCCCACGAGACTGTGAACGTGGACTTTGAGGACACCGAGCAGTTCGAGGCCTACTTCCAGGACTACCCGTACGACGATTGGCACGAATGGGAGCCGGACACCAATGAGGCCTGGGTCACCAACAAGTATCAGACCTGGGACGACGAGAAGGCTTCCGTCTCCAAGAAGCAGGCCGCGGCTGAGGCCTTCCCCAAGTTGGACTATGAGGAGGCCAAGCACGTGGTCAAGACGGTGAACGCCGTCAAGCGCAAGGCATCCGAGCACGCCGGATCCTCAGGCGATGTTCCCCCTGAGCAGGCAGGACTGACGCCTGCGACACGCCCTCTGGATGTGTTCACGGCCACTGCACAGGTCAAGGAGCAGATCGAGTCCCGCAAGTTGAAGCCCGTGGCACACACTGCGACGGCGCCTGAGGCCGTCCGTGAAGCCTTTGAGATACTCGGAGTCACTCCCCCTCCGAGGAGTGGTTCAGTTTGGGACTGTCTTACGGCCACGGAGGATGAGAAGACCTTCGACCTGGACTCGATGCGCATCTCCTACATGGTAAACAAGCTGGACCCGCGTTCAGTGCTTGGTGTCGGTCGCCCTCCGGCTACCGTGACACCTGGCCGTGCATACCTCACCATTGACACGGCCTGCGAGAACACAGTTGGCGGGCTCACCGCATTGCACTTGGTGGCCAAGGTCTTGGAGGAGAAGTTCACCGTGCACCCGGAGGAAGAGTCCTACCGGTTTGGACCTGGCGAGCCCCGGATCTCGCATGAGCGCTGGCATGTGCCGATTGGCATCGGCAAGAAGAACATGATCATCAAGACCTCCACGCTTGATGACAGACCCCCGGGACAGAACAAGATCCCATGGCTCGCAGATTGGCTGCGCTTCATGGCAGCAGTCGTGGACATCGCCGAGCAGAAGATCATCCTGAAGAGCATCGACGCTCAAGCCCCTTTGTTTACTGACCACACCGGACATTTGGTCGTGGCAGTTGATGATTTTCCAAGTTTGGGCTGGCCCGAAGGAAAGGTCGCTTCGAAAGATGATTACGCTGGACTCCTCTGGCTCACAGGAAAAGCGTCTATGGAGTCTGCTGCGCCAAAAACCACTCACATCTACAACCCCGAGGATGACCCTTTGGCAACTGGTGATATCTATGGTCTACATCCCTGTACGGTACATGGAGATGTTTGGGAGTACAACATGGACAACCCCCTGGTCTACATTCGGAGGCACCGTCGACCAAGAACCACCAGGTTTCATCCTCAAGATGTAGTAGATGGGCCCGAACCACGAGAACTGCAGATGGTAAGGGTCACTTACAAAGATGGAGCCCCTGAACCGATCGTGGACACCTGGGATCAGAAGGTTGAAGAAGAGCCCTGGACAGGCTACACGGTTTTGGTTGGTTTGGACTGTGAACCTCCTGTCCAGATGGTGGCATCCACACCTGCACATCACCAAGTCGGGGTCAGCATCGAGATCGCCGGCAAGTCGAGAACTGTGCACCCGAAGTCTTTGAAGGAAACTGTCACCAAGAGACTTCAAAGGTCCTTTGCACCCCACATCAAACCTCCGGATCTGCCGCTGAGTCGTCATGATCAACGGTTCACCTCGTCGCAGAAGGAATTTCCGAATGTCAGCAACTTCGGTTCCAGCGCACCCGCACGAGCTGCCTATGAGGAAGGCCCCCATCGGATCGACGCCACAAAGCTGCTCAGCTATGGCGGCTGCTGGTGGAGCGGCTCATGAAGCTCTACGCGGCGCTGCAGCGATGGGTGAATGCGAACAAGGTGGTGCGAGAGTGCAAGTTCCGTGCGCCAGCTCTCATGGGCTACATGGAGGCGATCCTCGACGAGGAGACCACCTTGGCGATGGATCTACCTCCTGCTCTACCTCCTGCTTCTACGAAGGCGAAGGGACAGACGGCCTATGCCCTGAACCTGAAGTACCAGGAGGAGCCACACAACTGCCCACATCTAGTGGAACATGGTCGGCGCTATGGAAACGCCCATGGCAAGTTCTTGGAGTGCATCAACTGTGGGAGCGTGTGGCGGGGCATCGACTACACGGTGCCGATCAGCCAGGAGATGGTGACCACGTACAAGATCTACGTGGGCATTCGGGACAAGCCAGGAGGCAAGGTCATGAAGGGCGCCACAACCCGCAGAGCTTCTTCTTCAAAATCCTCTGTCTACTCATCTTCCTCACCTCCAACATCTATGGAGGCAGCCTATGGGATCACCTACCAACCTCCGAGACGGGCAACTACGAAGGCAGCGCCCTCGAAGCCCGAGCGTCAGATCAAGCCCAAGGCGGAGAAGGTCAATCCACAGGTCTACAACCTGGAGGAGTGGGACGACGCGGAGATGGTGGACGTGACAAGCGAGGAGGACGTTCAGGAGGTGAAGACGGCAAGAGCTTCAGGTCCGAGGACGCAAGGCAGGATGACTCATCGCAACAAGGAGGACTCCCACACGGACGAGTTCGACGGCTGAACGATGAGGTGAAGCTCAAGCCTGGTCAGCAGAAGAGAATGAAGCACATGGCACGACAGGCCCTAGCGACCTCCAAATGGCAAAGAAAGCTCATTGAAGAGCGCATGAAGAAAGGCCGTTGGCCCCGGAAGCACTTCAAGTTCGACCTGGTGGAGGTGTTCGGTGGCACTTCGATGGTCAGTGTGAGAGGCAGCACTATGTGGCGGATGAAGGTGTTGCAGCCGGTCGACATTCGCTATGGCTGCGACTTGAGAAAAAGGCAAGCCAGACGCTGGCTCATGCAGATGTTGGACAAGGCCAACCCACCTTTGGCCATTGTGGAGTACCCATGTACGGTTTGGAGCACCCTCAACTCCAACGTCAACTATCAAGGTCGAGAAGAAGAACTCGCACGACTTCGAGAAGAAGACCGACCTTTTCTGAAGCTGACCGAGGACATCTTTGCTTCGCAGGTCAGCCGCGGCGGACACGCCGTATCAGAGAATCCAGCCACTGCAGCCTCACAATCTCAGCCCGAGATCCTTCGCTTGAGAGAAAGGTGGTACGAGACCACGTCATGCTTATGCATGTTTGGGCTGCGAGGCAAGCGAGGCATGCCTATGATGAAGAGAGTTCGCTTCATCGCCACCCACGAGTACTTCATCCAGGAGCTGGACCTTCAGTGCGACCACAGTCACCAGCACGAACTGGTGGAAGGTTCGAACACCCGCGCATCTCAATGCTACCCACCAGCTCTGGGAGATGCGATCTGCAGAGCTTACTGGAGAGTGGTCGAGCTTGAGGACTTTGGCACGGTCACCTATGAGGACTATAAGGTCAAGAATGCCAGCACAGCATGGTTCGTCGACGTCAACAAGCAGGAGGACAAATGGCGACCCTTGCTGCAGGAAGCTGAGGAGATCTTGGCCAGGAAAGTGCAGAGCAGCATCTTCGTCACCCCGGAGTCCGACCTCTACCGGAAGATCTGTGAATTGGTGCCCTGGCAAGTGATGAACATTCAGCTGGCCCATCTTCCAAAAGCCAAGCGAGTCAGGCCTGGGCTGGAAGAATGTCATCGAGCATCGGTCTTGCTGCAGAACGACAACTCCATCATCATCGAGACCGAGTATTTGAAGACAGCTCAAGCACCCCGTGAACGCTTCATCACACCAGTTCGCGTGGGCATCTTCATCCTGGGCTATGCACCCGGTGAACCACAGGCACCAAGCCCTCAGAAAGAAGGAGAACGGCAATACGTCGAGGCCGAACCCGGAGAAGCAGTTGGTGAAAGAATCGAGGGCGATCATTTTGACGATAAGTCCCTCGTCAAGCAGAGCTATGGAGGCGAGACTTGGTTTGAAGGACCTCCACTCACCAACCGACAGAAGAAGCTGGCTCCATCGATCGTCAAGCTGCACAAGAACCTCGGGCATCCTAGTCAGCCTGACTTCACTCGCGCCCTGGTCCAAGAAGGCAATGTGGAGACCGAGGCCATCGAGCTGAGCAGGAGGCTGAAGTGTGCAGTCTGTGAACGGTCGAGACGACCAAAAGCACCACGTCCGACTTCCTTCAAGATAGTCGGATCCTTCAACTCCAAGCTGTGCATGGACTTCGTCTATGTGCCGGACGCTGAGGGGAACAATTACCAGTTCCTCCACATCCTGGAGCCCAATGGATCCTTCAACGTCTTCTACCCCAGTGCTACACGCAATCCTGGAGACGTTTGGGATTTGTTTTGTTTGCTGTGGGCCAGCTGGGCAGGCTTCCCACAGACTTTGTGGTGCGATAAAGACGGCGCCTTTGAGGGTGAGTTCCTTGAAAGGATCAGGTCAATGGGCACTCTGGTTGACAACCCACCAGCGGAAGCTCACTGGCAAGCTGGACAAGTTGAGGCCTACAACCGTGCCTTCAAGGACACCGCTCAAAAACTGGTGGACGAGATGGTCCTCCGAGGCGACCGAGACATGAGAACTCTCGGCTGCGCTGTCGCCGCCGCAATGAATGACCGCATCCGGTCATCAGGATGCTCGGCCTATCAGTGGCTCTTTGGCAAGAGTCCTCAAATACCCGAGGACGTCCTCTCCCCGGACGGCAAGTTCGAAGCGCTGCAGGCCATGGAGCTGGACGAAGAGCTGCGGAGAAGGAATAGGATTCGAGCAATGGCAGATGAGAAGATCTCTGCCTACCGGCTTAACGAAGCCGTGCGGACAGCCATACTCCGCAAGTCTCATCCAATGAAGGATGACTACGAGCCTGGCGAACTCGTCGCCTTTTGGCGAGAAGCCAAATATCGCCAAGGCAAGAAAGGACAGAAGGGCAAAAGGATACCAGCCTCTTGGTATCGTGGTGTGGTGGTTGGACCTCACAAAGGAGACGGCACCACCAAGCAGAACAATTTTTCGGTCACCTCCAACGGACGGTGTATCCTCGTGGCCAAAGAACAGATGAGGCCGGCTTTCGGCACCGAACTATGGCCGGTACATGAACATGTTCTCCAGGAACTACAAGACAATCCCCCGCAGCAGTACTTGGACCTTCGCACGGACGAGCTGCCGCCGGTGCCGGAGGATGACGATGAAGACCTGGATCAGGTCCCGCTCTTCCCGGACAAGAAGGAGGAGGAACGAATGGAAGAAGAGCTTGGTGAAGGACCACCTGGAGAAGCAAGTTCACCTGCCGCTGATGCCATGGACATCTTGGCGGAGCAAGAAGCGGCAGAAGCTGAAGACCCTACAGCTACGGCCTCAGACATGACAACACTACCAACCCATCCAAGCACGAGAGCGCCTGGAACTCCGGTTGGACAGCTATGGCCACAGACACCACAAAAGAAGATGAGGACTACACCTTCACACTCAGCACCTTCCGAGGCCGCCCCATCGGCAGTCACGGACCTCGCCATGGAACAGAACCCTGCAGTACCGGAACCTTCCTCTGCCATGGTCACCAACGTCGGCAAGGACTTCTGGCGTGCAGACCACAAACGTGGAGTTTTGGTACGCCACCATCTACAACCACGTCGAGCTCTATATGATCCTGGTCGAGCTCACGATATACCAGTACGCCTGGACAAGCTCTCGAGATTGAGGACCACGGTGATGTTCCTCGACTCCGGACGCAAGATGGTGAGAGACACATGGGTGTCACCAAACTCCAATACGCCCATGGACAAGAAGTGGACCGGCAAGACGATCTTCAAGATCTTGGTGCGGTCCGCCATGGAAGCCCAAGCCGAGTGGCAAAATCCGGAGCGCGTGTCCCGGAAGGACCGGAAGGCCCTGGAGAAGGAGTTGCCTTGGTCGGCCATTCCCGACGAGCAGAAAGAGCTCTACCGGCAGGCGCTGGTGAAGGAGTGGAACACGTGGCTCAAGTACGAGGCCGTCCTCATCCTCAACCCTGAGTGCAGCAGACAGGTTGAACTGATGGTTGATGCCAGCCGCATCCTTGCGGCCAGAGTCTGCTACAGGGACAAAGACGCAGCCACACCTTGGCTGGAGATCAAGCCCAAGGCCAGAATCGTTTGCAGAGGAGACAACGATCCAGACCTACTCGAACTACGTCGAGACGCTCCTACACTCACGAGGTTGGGGCTGATGCTGATACTTCAACTCGCTGCAAGCGGGGAAGGCTGGATCATGGTCACCGCCGACATTACCGGCGCTTTCCTACAAGGAGACCAAAGCCTGGCCAAACGGAAGGAACCGCTTTTCATCAGGCAGCCAAAAGAAGGTTTGCCCGGACTTCAACCAGGACAACTTCTACTGGTGGCGCGAGGCATTTTTGGCTTAGCAAACAGCCCCCGGCTGTTCTGGCGCTTCCTCCGCGACAGCTTGACCACCCTCGGCTTTGTGCAGTCCACGCTCGACAAGGCCCTCTTCATGTACTACGAGGACCACCAGCTCATCTTGGCGCTGGGAGCACACGTCGATGATCTGATATGCGCTGGATGCCCAAAGCGAGCGGACAACATCCTCAACAAGGTGAAGACCACGTTTGACTTCGGGGACTGGCACGACTCCCGCCAGGAGAACAAGATGGTCTACGGTGGCAAAGAGATCATCGTGCACAGTGACGGCAGCGTCACCCTGGGTCAGGAATCTTTCATCCGGGCACTGACTTTGACACCGGTGCCGAAGTGGCGAAGGATCATGAAGGACTCCACCTTGACAGCCACCGAGGTCACGGAGATGAAATCAGGTGGCGGATGTTTGCATTGGCTCATCGCCCAGACGAGGCCAGATTTTGCTGCAGGTACCTCGCTGGCTATGAGCGGAAGCCCTACTGTCACGAACCTGCTTGAGGTGAACAAGCTCCTGCAAGAGGCGATCCGGTCCCAAGATTGGAAGCTTAAGTTCGTGCCGATCCCACTTGAAAAGGCACGGATCATCGCCTTCAGCGATGCCTCATGGGCGAACACGGAGGAGCTGAAATCCCAAGCGGGATACTTGGTCTTTGTGACCGGGCCGGAGGTGTTCACTCCGACTGGAGATGCCGCCAGTTTGGTGGAGTGGAAATCCCACAAGATTCGGCGCCGCTGCCGATCGACCCTGGCCGCAGAGACTATGTCCCTTGATGCGGCTACGGATGCAGCTCTCTTCACCCGCGAGCTGCTGGCAGAGATTTGCATCGAGGGCTACCAGCCGACTCATTCAGGACGATTGGATGAGACCATTTTTCCAACGTCCATGGCCACAGACTGTCGCTCCCTCTTCGACTTGCTCATCAAGGATGGACCTTTGAGCAGCACACAAGAAAAGAGGTTGACCTTGGACATCGGAGCACTTCGTGAAGTGGCCGAAGAACTGGAGCCCACCGGCGAAATGATGAAGGAGATCTACAGGTGGGTGCCCACGAATGTCCAGAGAGCGGACCACCTGACAAAGCTCAAGCCTGCTGCAGAGCTTCGAGAGATCCTGGACCGAAACTGGATCTCCATGGTGGCAGATGAGGAGACCACATCGACTCCGAGCCCTACACGCTCGGCGCTGTGGGCCGCTGCCGCTTGGGTGAGCCGCGCAAGC